CACCCTGAGTACAGATTCAGATCATTAGATGGTTGAACAGATACAGATAGTCATCCCTAATTTCCCCCTGGTTTATTGAATCATGTTTCATGTTGTTCCTTTGCTCGTAGAAGTGCAGTGTTGCATCACTGGTGAGTAACTGCAGCTAAAGTGATGCTTTGTCTGCATTTTAGTAACAGAAGTGAGATAAGTTAGAGATTTATCCAGTTCCTTTCCCTTTTGTTGAGCAACGCTCCGATAAGCTGATCTGGGTTAGAGAAGGGCGCTGCTTCAGACTCCTGCTTTATTGATAAATGAGATCAATGTCTTAACTACGTTGGGAGCCTGTGTGCTAATTGTGTGTTTAAAAGAAACAGAATGGCGTTGAAGGGAATTAGCGTTAACAAGCTATTAATGCAGATACAACTTTCCTGTAGCTGCGGATGTTTTTTCTGCTCAACATCTGACCAACCAAGTCCGTATAATCGACAGTACCCCATCGCCTTTACCAGCACGTGCTCATCCACGTGCCGTTGCGGCTCTCATCCAAAGCTAACACAGCTTGACAACATTCATGCACGATCGCGGTGGATGGTGGCTAAACTTCTTCATAGGGCTGAACGATTTAAAGAAAGATTGAATTGCGCTTTTCTATGAGTTCGATTCAGTTTTCTTAAATCAAGGTTTAACACATTATTTACAAGCTAGTCATCAAATCGTACCATACAAACATTAAAAACGACTTATTTTCTCCCAAAATTATCTTTTAACCTTTTTTATTTTTGATGTGCTTGTGAAGAAACCTGTGATTTTTATCTGGAGACGCTTTATAAATATGTTGGGATTTTTTTGTCCTCGTGGGCTTCAGATTTGTATTTAACAGTGACCTCTTTTAGTGACCTCTGACCTTTATGTATTATACATATTTTTATTGTCACAATAAAAATATGTATAATATATAATCTGTTGAAATAATTAGAAAAAAGAACCATCGATGTGATTTTGTGCAGAACATTTTCTACCACAAGGTTTATACAGTCCCTCTGCTCAATAGACCAACAGAATTCACCTGAAATAATGATTAGGAATGATCATGAAACACCAGAATAACATATGAATATAATTTTAAACATAGTAATGATCTGTAGGAGCGAGTGTAGACTGTTGCTGCTGCTTTAAGGGGCTGTGGTTGATTGTGAAAGTGAAACTGGAGCTGCAGTGAGATGCAGGTTTTCTCAGCTGTTTGTTGATCTCCTAAACCACTGTTAAGGGCAAAATCTCCTTCTGTCTTGCAGTTTAGTTCTGCAATAAATAATTTAAATAATAATAAATTGGCTTAGGTTATTGAAAAGAAGAGAAGCTGCGCTTTTAAGTCCACTTGGTGTTATTATGATGAATCCAGTTCAGCTGCTGGAAAATCAGCCTCTCTCTCTCTGTCACTCGCCCACGGTGCTGAGAGACTGACGTTTAACATCAGCTGTAGAAGCAGAGCTGTGAGAGGGGAAAAAACAGAGAAAAATACGGAAATGTGCCCCTCAGTCAGCCGCGCTCGGCTCCAGTACCGATACCCCCGGGCTCTCTAATGTCTGTAACACAGGGGAAAACCCCGGATGTCCAAAATAGTTGACAGTAGAATGATGCAATTATCAGACTTGTTGGTTCCTGCGCCGTTGATCAGCTGAGGTCATGGCACGCCGCTAGCAGCAGTGGCAGAGCGAGCTCCAGAACGGGACTAGAAAACAGTCAAACTAACCAAATAAATGTTCCGATTTGGTTTCATTCTGGAGTTTTCTCTGCTTATAAACTAAGCTTCTCATAAGCTGTAGTGGAGCTAAAACCCAGAACGTCCCAGTGCCTTCCTCAGGACGTGGGGCTCCCTAAAGCCCTGCCTTAGCTTCCCTGACTTAACCGTTTGTTTGCAGACTACTGGGAGGAGGAACACTCGTACAGCAGGAGGAGTTGGAAGCACTACCACCGGGAGGTGTTGCACGAGCTGGGCGGCAGCGGCGACGACGACGGCGACGACGACAAATCAGATTCTGATTGATCGACTTCTTCTGGCACCCTCCTCATTGGAAAAGCCAGCGCTCTCTTGACACTTCACTCTCTGAGCCTCTGTGTAGTTAAGAGTAGAACCCTCCCACCCCATAACAGTGCAGCTACCTGTGTAGCACCTCTGAAGTGGTGTGCCAACGTAACTGTTCTATAACCCACCCTCCTCCTCCTCCTCCTCCTCCTCCTCACTACACAGATGCCAGAGAAGGATCCAGAGTGTTTTTTTTTAAGCTGTGGTGGAGTGACTTGTGTGTGGGTGTTTGTTTTAAGTGGATGCGTGTTTGAATTGTTTCTCGTTAGCGTGGTATGCTTCGTACGCTGTGCTGTTAACTCCTTCTGTTAGTGAGGGCCACGTGTGCTTGCAGCTTAGAGTGTTTGCGTTGGTGCATGGTAGCGTGTACGTATAACTAGACCGTTTATTTCTGCATAATGTGAAAGCGTGTTGCATACATTTCTGTGGTGGACGTGAGTTTGACTCTGAAGTGAATCCAGTTGTTGCCCGAATGCTTGCTGAAGTTTATTTTTTGTAAATATGTAGATGTGTAAACAAAGAGCTTTCAAAATGTGTCGTCTGTTTCTTCTACGCGGTTAAAAAAAACAGGTTTGGTCATAAAGTTAGCTGATTTAGAGTGTTTGAGTTGGTGTGCAGGGTCAAAGGTGAATCACAAGTTTACCTTTAATACCTTCAGTTTGGCCTGCTGGCGTCAGAAATCCATTCGTCTAGTATCTTCTCCCGCTTATTCTGGCAAGGTCGCAGGGCAACACAGACACCTAAGGATGATGTAGACAGACCAAACAACCTGACAGTCGTGCTTTTGAACTGTGGGAGGAAGCCGGAGAGAACCCACGCATGCACAGGGAGAACATGCAAACACCTTACAGAAAGACCCCTGGCTGCGATGGGAAGCCATTAACTCCCTTTCAGTGTTTTTGCTGTCACACCAGACCACATACATGGTAATTCTGATTCTTTATAAAATTGTGCTTAAACTGCTAATGACCAAACATCTACCATCATTCTGGTTTCCACATGAAGAAAAAACTGAAAATGTGTCCTCGCCACTTGGGTCTCTAAGAGCCAGCATATAAAATGTTATTAATAACCTTTTAAAGAGAAACTCATGAAATACTGAATTTTTTAGATTCTTTATGTTTTACTTACGAGTTTAACCTTAAGAGCCAGAGGCTTTTAAAATAGAAACCAGGAAACACTTAAAAGTAAAATAACCTCAGATTGATGGATAGGATGTCACCACGGGCCTTTAAGGATTAACAGTTTTATTTTTGCTGTTTTATAAACATTTGTCTGGCAAATCAGGACTTGAAGTGTGCAGAAAGGGTCAAATACAGCCACTTGTCCTTTAAAGGTAATCTAATGCAAGGTAGTGTTTATGTTTAACTTGTTTACTTCATGCTTTAGTAAGATAAAAGGACTAAAACATGTTTCTACCAAGCAGCTGTCCTGCAGGATAACTGGTTAAAGACCATTGTTTTCCTAGAAATTAAATGCTTTCTTCATTTGATGTCTGTAGTCTCAGCAAAACGTCTCATGGTCAACTAGAAGACTAATGAGACTTGGGTAGTAACCATTGGATGTTCAAAGTAACCCTCATCACAACCCCCCGATCCTTCTGGAAAAACCTGAAATTTGGTGTTTGTACCTAGCCGAGTTATAACTTCTGAGTACTAATTGTGTGAGACTGCGCAACCTACTCCAGATTAGACCAAAACCAGCATAACCATCACATCCCAACATGAAACAATGGTGTAAAACCAGCACGAACCCTAGGGGGTGGCATGCATTCCTTCAAGGAATGGGAGGCCTTTTATTCAAATATAATAATGTGCAAACGTACAATTTAAAGGTGCAACAATAATTTAAAAAGTACAGTCAAAAAACATTCTTTAAAATGTAAAGTAACAGGGTTGAATCTGGCACCACCAAGAAAAGAAATTAATTTAGACAGTCTTATTAAACATTGTTTTTGTCATTTAACACAAACTCATGACCAATGAGTTCCCGGGAGTCGTTGGTAAACGTTACAGCATGTAGATTACTCGGTAATATATGTAATAGTAACGAGTAGCATACATACCTGTGACCACAAAGCACCAGTTGAGTTTCATAGGCACGTTCTTTAAAAAGTCTGGAGCCATTTATTATGGAAGTCTAAACATATCTGACAAAACCGAACACACCGTTTTAAACTCCCAGAGTAAATCTGTTCATCAGTGGCAGCGTTTCCAGAACCAGGTGAATCCCAACAGTTTCAGTATGATGAACCGGACAATATATGTTCAGTTTGGTTTCTTTCACAGCAAAAGTCTTCACATGGCAGCGATGAGGAAGCTACTGGTTTTTGTCTGTCTCCGTTCGTACGCAGAAGCAGGTGTACTGGGTGAAGAACGTCAGAGAGCCTGCAGTAAGACAACAGTTAGCTGTTAGGAAAGGGAACGTGTTCCTTTAGGGATGAGTGCAGTACTCACGCAGCAGCTTAATGATGACAGGTGGTCTTTTGGACTCTGGCAGGTAGACACCTAAGAAGTAGACAGGAACTCCTGACAGGGCGATGGCAATGCCGATCAGAGAGTTGACCGTGTCGCTGTATAGAGGAACCACCACAAGGAAAACGGCACACAGGCAGAAAACCACCGGGTACAACAACGTCAGCTGTGGAGAGAGAACCATGGCTAGAAAGAGTTTTGGATTAAAAAATAAATAAAACACGTATGATTCACGTGTCCAGTCAGCCAATCCCAGGACAGCAACTGATGCGTTTGGTCATCTAGTCGTAGTGAGTGAGTAGAGAAGAGGACACGTCATGGTTGTGGCTAAACAGGCTGGTCTGAGAGTTTCAGAATCTGCTGACCTACTGGGAATTTCACCCACAACCATCTCTAGGATTAACAGTAGCTCAAGTAACCACTGGTTCCAACCAAGGACCAGAACAGAATCACTGCATTTTCCTGCAGCGGGGAACGTTTGGTCATCTGTGTGTTGAAGGTGTGGAGAGCTGCCGACACCGGCCGTCAGCAGGAGCAGCACCAGAACTAGCGTCTACAGCAGAAGTGCCCGGTGCGGACCACAAGGACCACCGCTCAGCATGTTTTAGAGGGGTCTCTGCTTTGACACACCTGATTCTAATCGGTCATGATTAACGGTCTTCTGCAGAGCTCGACCTGCTGAACAAATCAATAAACTATTGGACCAGGTGAGTTGGAGCAGGAAACATCTAACACAAGCTGGATAGGGAGTTGGACTCCTTTAACATTCCTACAGACAAAAAAGGGTCCAATAAACTTTGTTTTTATTTCCCATCTGTATCCCAACATGCTGATTCTGGATCAGTGGCATTTTAGCCATCATAACGATCCCAACATGCTGAAGGTTAAATAACCAAACTTGATCGACTGAGTCAGAAATAAACAGCAAACTAGCCCGACGCAGCGCCATCGTCTGGTCAGAATAAAACATTTATGAATACTGCAACTTCAGCTTCAGCAATCAGAGCTAATCACATCAGACCTTCTGCTCTGTAGACACAGGAAGCTTGTTTCTCTCCTCGTTGAAAACAGTAAGCCTCCAATTGAACCTGGATGTTGACAAACACAAGTATGTCACCTTGAGAGGTCTGGGTCTGTCAGGCTGCTTCCAGCGAAGGTAGATCTGGCCGGCCACAGACAGACCCATGAAGAACCAGTAGCTAAAGCTGTAGTAGTTGATGAGCTGGAAGACATCCTCCACCATCAGGTAGATCAGTGACATGATGCACTGCACAGAGAGAAAGACTTGAATCGCCATTACTGCAGACATTTCTACCTTCATTAACGTCAGCTGATGAAGAGCAACAATGCATTTGCCTGCGTCTGCATTTGTCCTTTTGTCTCACGAAGCGCTGCATGGATTTCAACTGAATCATCAAAAAATAATTCACTTTTGAAGGTAACCGCATTCAACATGGCCACCAACATATGTGTGCCTAAACTCCAGGGTGGTAAACGGGTTTTACCTTCTAGAATTTGCTTGTTTCTTACATTAAACATCAGAGCTGGAATGGGAGTGAATCTCTGAATGTGGATCATGGACAAAGCATCTGGGAGGTGACCTTCTCGGGATCCTACAAAGAACAACCTGGACACAGTTAAACATCAGTTAAAAGAGCCGTCACAGTTCTTGTGTGGCATCCTTTTGCTCCGACACAATAAAATGGAATCCCCTTGGTGAAAAATGCTCAGTTTGCTAAATATAAATTGTGCTCTACCTGGATGCAGCTATGATGGAGGCGTTTAGGCCTCCATAACAGGACAAAGCCACAGCAATGGGGATAGTCCAGCTCATGGCACCCAGTGTGTGATCTGCAAAAGTCTAAACGGAACACAGGAAGCTTTTAGCAGCTGTACAGCTCACCCATGCATGGATCACGTTCTTGTTCTCACCACCGCCACAGCATCACTGGACAAAATAGAGGCGACGTCCAGAACAGCGTAGTAGGCCACGTTGGTGAGGATGTAGATGATGGTGACAATAGGCATAGAGATGGCAATGGCCAAGGGCAGGTTCCTGAAATAACAGCACATCTGATCAATGTCACTCTGACGCACTGTGGCTCATACAGGCCAAGTAAAAAAAAAAAAAAAACCTCTCAGGGTTTTTGATTTCTTCTGTTACAAAGTTAAGAGTATCCCAGCCAGAATAAGTGAAGAGTGCAGAGTACAGCGCCAGAGCGATGTCACCAGGATCTGTAGACGAGCCCTGGAAGGACGACTCAAAGTTGTCTGTGTAACCTGAGGAGCAATTGAAATAGAAACATTTAATTGAAATGATTTTATTTAATGTTTTAGTCAGTTTGCTGTAAGAACAAAGCAAAAATCTTAAGAAAACAAAACTCAGTTTAAAGAGCAAGTCACCCCCTACCAGAGTCTTACTCCACTCCCACTTCCTGTTTGACAAATGTAACACAAGGAGGCGTTGACCGGCCGATCGAGAGGGCAGAGCCGCCAACAAACACACAGGCTCACAGTGGCATTGTGACATCAGATGGTACCAGCTAAAGTCATAGGGTACCTCTGAGCCAATAGCTAGATTTCAATTCAAATGTAGTGCAGAGTTTTTACCTGAAGAGGTGACAGTTTTAGGCAGAATATTAAAATTTGAGCTAAGATGCACTAAAGTGCCAAATTATTGACTACACGTGTCTACAGCACGATTAGACACTTGTTTATATAGTTTATCAGCAAAAAAGTAGACTCGGGGGTGACTTGCTCTTTAGGAAGATAAAAGATGCTGACATCAGGACCACATCCTGCTGGTTCTAACGGAAAACATCAGTGATGTGGGGTTGATGATTTGGGCACCTTACCGTTATTAATTTGACCAGGAATTTCTGATGTCATGAGGAAGTTGATATGTTAAGCCTGGTTCAGAAGCAGAATCATGCCTTGATCTCAACTTCTAATTTCCTGTCGAGCCCATCTGTTGTCAGCTCAACTTTTACCTTTTGACCACTCCCTTACGTTTTCCTTAGACCCAGTGAGGACTCTTTATCTTGGTTAGAAAATCTTAAACCCTGGCTGATCTTTCAACGTAATTCTGTTTACTGGAGTTGATGTTCTGAGCGTCAGTGAGCCACTCACCCTGGCAAAGTTTGGTGATGCCCGTAATGATGATGACGATGAGAGCTGCCACCTTTGCATAGGTGAAAACGTCCTGCACACGGGTGCCCCACTTTACATAGGCAGAGTTTATGAACGTCAGTAAACCTGGGAACAGAGGAAGATTAAACACATGTTCCTCTGCATAGCTGGGCAGGCGTGAGCACAGAGAAGTAGTTGACTTAGTGGCTGAAACATACTCACATATGCACGCTGCGGCGATGAGCCTGGACGCGGCATATGGCGGTGCACACGTTGGAAAAAGTGGCTGCACCAGGTAATTTGCAAATGTAATGGCTATGACTGCCTGACCGGTGGGTTCAATGATTAATAAGGATGTCCAAAGACGAATGAATGCAATGAAGCCACCAAAGGACTCCAGGATGTATGCATAAGAAGCCCCTGATTTGGTGATAGTGGTTCCCAGCTCAGCATAGCACAAAGCACCAACCACTGAAAACAAGCCTCCGATGGCCCAGATGATGAACGACAGCCCATAGGAAGCGCTGTAGATGAGCACACCCTTAGGGGAGACAAAGATACCAGATCCAATCATGTTTCCCACAATCAGGCTGACTCCATTGAGCAGGGAGATCTCCTTCTTGAGCTTCATGCTCTGCTGCTGATCGGTGGAGTGACCAGCACTATCGTTTGTCGTCTCAGACCCTTCGCTGTTGGTCATGGTGCCGTCGGTGTCTGAACTCGACCTGCAGAGCAGCTGGGAATACTTCAGCCTCTTGCTGCTTCTGGAAACCCCGGGAACAGCCTGCCCAACAGATTCAGAATAGGAGTGACCATCAGTGACATTAAAAAGAGCTTAGAGCCAGGCAGAGACTCCACAAATCAATAACCAGCGATAAACAAAAGCAAACTAACAGAGCAGAACTTCTGGTTTTTGTAGTGTGTGAGTGATGCTCATTAGCCCTGTGTTGTGGTCTGTTAGCCCTGTTTATCCGGCCAGGCCACTGGGCTTTTATGTGTCAAACTAAAGGCTGGACGGTATAGAAAAAGCTCAGATTAAAAAAAAATAAATATTGAAAACTGCATAAAAAAATGTAGCAAATATATTTTAAGTGCAGCCTTGGCCATTTAATGTCTAACTTTATAACACAAGTCGGCTGTGTTACCAGACTTGGTTTTTAATCGATTCTCTACAAGTTTCGCAAACCGCCGTTGTTTGTTTTTTTACCAGACTTGTAAGAATAAAAATAGTGCCACCCTGAAACCTTTTTTCGAGATAATTTCTTCCACCTCTCCTCGCTGCAACACCTTGTTTAATCCACATTGCTGTCTGTTTGGGTTTGAGAGGGGAGGGCTTGGGTCTGTTTTGGTTGGGTGCAAGTAATGACTCTAGTATGAAGCTACCGGATAGGCTATAATAGAAAAAGGAAACTTTTTATTTATTGATCCATTATTATTTCCTATTGCACCACATGTCTATTGATCGATATATATCGTCATTGAATTATTGTCCAGCCCTATATCAAACTAGTATAAATGACAAAGGTACAAAAAAGGTCTAATAGTTTCATTTCCTGTTGTACATAAACAGTTTATTAAAGTAAATGAGAGTATTATGCTGCAAGTAGTAGCCCTGTGAGTGGAGTGTGTAGATGGGACGTCAGTGTGGCTCAACATGGCTGTGGTTGTCTTTAGAACGGCTTCTCTGAGCATGTGAGAGGCATGCTTCAGTTCAGCAATCAGACAGCTGACACACACACACACACACACACACACACACACACACACACACACACACACACACACACACACACACACACACACACACACACACACTCCTGCTGTACAGTTTATCAGCCACTGACACGCTTAGAAACACAGAAAACTGATTTGTTTTTCTGAATGAAAGCTAGTTTTTTCCACTAAACATCTAATTCGCTTTCAGTTGAAAATAACTGATTTATAATTCAAGAAGGAGGTGGGGGTCTAAATTAAAATTTGGAATGAATACCAACATATGTAACATAACGGTTACTAAAAGATCTTCTTAATCAATCAGTCATATATCTCGGTTAAAGTTTTTATTAGGAATGTTTCTATATTCTAGGTGGCAATAATTAGGGTCACGAGGCTAGGACTGTTTAATTTTGCAGGTCCAAAGCTGACCATTATTATGAAATACTAGATGGACATTGACAAAATGCTCAGTATGTAAACTTTAGCTGTACAAGTTACCAACATTGAGGTAAAATTATGTTTCCTAGTAGCTGAGAGTCACTGATGATGCATTTCCTGTGTGCTAACTAATCTGGCAGGAACTTGGTGAGATCCCATAAAGGGTTATTTTCAATATTTAATCCAAACAGGATGAACTTCATTGTTGTATAATTTTACAATTAGAATTATAGTGTGTGTGTGTGTGTGTTCCTAGCAAGCTTGTGAAATATAACCCAGAAATCAGAGAAAAGGTAGGTGTGGTGTTCTGTCAGCCAAAACCTATATCACCAAAGTTCTTTTAGGTTTCTGACGTTCTGAGTTAGAAATTGGACCTTTGATTAGAGCTCCGGCTCTCAGAGTTATCTTATGTAAGCCACACAGAACCAAAATAACTTTAAATACAAACAGGAAGTTGATTACATTGTTGACTTGTACTTTCTCAGGAAAAAACAGTTGGGAGGAGGTTTGTTTTGCTGCACGGTTGCCTTGTTTCCACATAAAATGCTGGGAGGCAGCTATTTTTATTCGTTGGACTTAGCTTTCCTGATTTTTTTTCGTCAAACGTGATTGTTTCAGCTCAGCAAACAATTTAAATGTACTAAGTTAACCTGAGTAAAGGAAAAAATGATATTTTACTTGATAAGACAAAATCTATTCAACCAACTTGGATCTTTTGATTAATCATAGATTAATTAACCAATTAATTGTGATTAACCACACAATTTGGAAAACAAATGCAATTTCACCCAGGCCTGACAGTAGAATTAAATCACTTCATTAGAATCAGTCTCACATGAAATAGGCTAAAAGACCTCAAAAAGCAACATACCCTGCCCTGTTCTAAAGAAATTCCAAAACAAAATAGCCCAGAACAACATCTAATGGGCCATTCCCATCTGTACTGGGTCGGCCCGGGCCGGGTAGCGTAGGTTGTTTACATATCTGGGTGGCCTGGTATTTTTCCGGGCCAACCAAGGCTCATTCTCAGCTCTCTTCTCGAGGGGGTCTGCTTCAGGCCGACCAGGGCCAACACACCCACTGCTGACAGCAAATTCACACCTTCCATTAGAGCAAGCCTCTGATTGGTGGGTAGAATCAGCCCACATGGGCTTAAGACAAGGATGTGTGGAATCAACCAGGCCAGGCTGGGGCCCACTGGGGCTACCCGGCCCGGGCCGACCCGGTACAGATGGGAATGGCCCATAAAGCCCTACTAGCCTCTCGGTTACAGTTAACCCTACCACTGTCTTTATGGGTGACCCCGCGAGGAAAGTTGACCATTGAGCAGGATTGATGGTTTATCCCTTGAGGTCCACGTGGCAGGGGTGAGGTGGTGCTCACTCCTCACCCCTGCCACGAGGACCCAAGGGATAAACCATCAATCCTGCTCAATGGTCAACTTTGCTCGCGGGGTCACACCCATTAGGACAGTGGGAGGGTTAAGGTCAGAGATCATGATTCAATCAAAATTAAAATACCAGGAGGCAAAATGACATATTGGTGGAGTTTCAAGACTTAAGTCTCAGCCAGGATGGATTAACAAGAGCATCTTAATGACAAGCTGTTTTTTTTTAATCTCACCCAGTAACAGAGAGCTCTGAGAGGAGGCGGATCTACAGCAGGGTAAACAGAACTTTGAGGTATTTAACTCCTCTCAATGATGGTCTTTAAGAGTGCGTACGTTAACCCTGATGCCAAACCTTTTTACTGTTTAAGAAAACATCAGTTTTATTGTTTATTACTAAATATTTGTGACAAGTACACATTGGTTGAAAGAAGATACATTTTTAACATCCCTAGCATGTAAACAAATAAAAAGTGTATACATGACTTGAATGTTTTTTCCCATTTTTTTTTCGATTAAGAAAGACTGTTTACAGCCTTCCATCTGCTAGAGCAGTGATGATGGGTGATAGCAAAAATAAACATGAAACAAAACGTCCCACCACAGCCGGTGTCTCCTTTCTCCATCAAGTTTAATGACACCACACCTGATCTTTGTTTAAGATTTTCAAAATAAAACTACGAAACTGTGTAACATTGTGAATATTTGCCACATTTCGCATTTCACCGAGTATTCATAGTAAAGTTTATTTATAATGCAAGCAAACAACTCGTCTGTTTATACTTTGCGTGACAAGAGGTCGTTTTATTATTAAACTAGAGTTCAGAGAGTTCCTTTTGAACTGTCTAAGTTAGCTGACTTGTCTGACTTGCGCCATACATATTTACACTAGCATTTATTTCATCTCGATAACATTAATTATTTTGTCTAAACATAAATTCAATGACATTTTATGGATCAGAAAACGTGCTTAATTTTGAAGCTCAGAGTTTCATTTTTCCTGTGTTGTTTAATTTCCGCCGGCTTGACACAAACATTTTTTTTTGGTTCCGTTGCTTCAGCTAACAAAAGAAAAGTAGTTTTTTTTTCTTTTGCTGACTGATAAAAATGACCAGAGACCAAATGTGCTGAGCAGCACGTGCCAGATGAGGCTGTCGAGTCTTACCTGCGCTGGTTTTCCTCTCCTTGTGTTGTCACGGGCACAGTCCGCACTCCGCATCCGCAGCGCCGGAAGCAACTGGCTGCTGCAGCTCAGAGGAAGCACCATGTGACGGTGCAGATACTGCAGGCATCTAAATCGCACGGTGTACATTTACAACTGCATGCGAAAAAACGTATTCACACATAAATAGTGTTATGGGTTTGCTTAAAAAAGCTTTATGAAACGTTGCCTACTTAAAAGCAACGTGAATGTGATGACAACAGAGACAAGACAAAGTGATAAAAAAGAAGAAACATCTCAGGGTTCTTAAAAACACCTGTTTGGGGTCAGTGGTAATAAAAGTGCATGTGCATTTATTGTATTTACTTATATATTCACATTTAGGCCTGCTAAAATAATTATGTTCCATTATGTTACAACATTGTTGCCCCACTTTTTCAACATTTTTTTGTAATTTGTGCTTAAATATGAGCGAAATCCTCAATTTCCCACACGAAATAAAAGGATTATTGCAATGATGTCTTCACCTGTATATCTTGATTATTTTACAAAAATGAAAAAAAAAAACACATAAGTTTAAAACACAGACAATGAGAACACGATTTTCCTTCCAATATTCATAAATGTCATTATGGAGAATTTATTCCTAAAACCACAGGTTGAACAATATTAAAATGAATAAAAAATATCAGGAAAATGGACCAGATGCAGCTCCTAATAAATGTGTGTATATAGCCACCTCTAGACTTCTGAAATTAAGATAAAAGTGTTTCTCAAAATGTTCTTAACCACACTTTCTCTCTATGCAGTTTGGTTAGGAAGAAAGAAAGAAAGAAAAGAACAAACTACTAAATGTTGCTGTGGTTTCACACATCTGATGGTTGGAGTGAATTTGTGAAGCTCAGACTTATCAGAGTGGTTCATGTTTGAGCATGAGAGCAGACCCGTTAGTGTAAGCAGCATTTTTGTATTTTCCACCCTCTGGTGAACCCTGGGAAGCTGCGACTTATTAACATATTTCTGATGATTTGTCTCCTCAGCAGCATTTTCCAGGGATGACTGAAGTGTGTGAGGGACAGAAGCATGATTAGTGTGTGTAGTGTGTGTCGTGGGATAATGGAAGAGTAGAGATTGAGAGAAACGCCAAACTGAAGTCTCGCTGACTCAGACACAATGGTCTTCAGCTCATCATAAATGTTGCTGTTCCACACATCAAATGAAACTATAACATCATGTTTATATAATGAGCACAGGAAGTAATTTATCAACACACAAACGAATGAATAATACATTTTAATGGTGCTGAAGGTATCCTGTCTCCAACCTCAGCCTGATTGGCTGATTGACCCACACCTGTGTGTGCTGAGCCTCCTCTTCCCTCGCTGTCCATTGTTTTGCAAGCTGTAACCATAATTATAAACAATTCAACTACTTCAACACAAGTTTTTTTGATCATGTAACTCAGAAGGGGAATTGTATTTAATTAGTTTATTAGTGACCCAGGGGCTTGGAAGGTGAGGGCTATTCACGTTTTTGCAGCTCACAGTTTCTGTCAATAGAAAAGACATTTAAATCAGATTTTCACACAAGGTCAGTGGCAGGATGGCATCAATAGACATGCAAATGATTTGATTAACCTTCATTTTACTTGGAATTCCAATTCAGTCCCTCTAATAAGTTGGAAAAATAAACATTTTACGTGTTATTTATTTATTTATAGATATTTGTGATTTGGAGATTGCCAAATTAAAGCTCTTACTGTTCTGGCTATTATTATTGTCTAAATGGGGAAGAGTCTTGCAAAATAACACATTTAACTGTGCTTGAACTTTGTTTTTATGACCATAAAGTCATGACAAAAATTAGTAAGAGCTTTGGGTGGATGTTTTCTGAGCAGCAGCATTAGTCCCTGCTTTTTATCTTTTGCACAATTTATGTTTTTTTTTTTGTATTAGTGGCATATAAAATCACAAAAGTCCAACCACCAAACATTTTATGTCATTTTAATTAGAACTGTTGTAAAAAAAAAAAAAAAGCTGAGAAAACAACCATTCTGGAGAAAACATCATTCTGAATCGCAAAAGGTCAGAAGCAGGTTTTGGTCGACTGCCCGTGATCCTGGTCCGTTTTAATACAACAGTAAAGATGGAATTATATCATCTCCTGGAAAATACTGAAACATCCAGGTCATCTTATTAATAATAATTCAAATAATCATTGTTCTGTGTTGTGAATCTGAACTTTAATGCTTTTATTTTTATTCAATTTTTAACACCCCATGCGCTCATATGGAAGTGACAAGGGAGCACCAAATACTGTTCACACACACACACACACACACACACACACACACACACACACACACACACACACACACACACACACACACACACACACACACACACACACACACACACACACACACACACACACACACACACACACACACACACACACACACACACACACACACCAAATTCTTTTTAAACCAACTTTTATTTTCATGTATCTTTATAAAATTCACAGAAATCCAAGTAAAAATAATCTTGAGTGAATAAACCAGTTCAATTTGCACATATAAAAATAATAAAATAAAAGTGCAACACCACAGCGTCTGAAGTGCTACTTGACTGCTGAAGATCAAAAAACAATAAATCATTACCAGACGAAGGTGTGGCGATTACAGATTTCTGTTGGGTTGGATTTTCCAGCAGTTAAAACAACTGAACTTGATCTAGTTTCATTCATTTTCCAAAAAAGTCTGCAAATTCTTCTTAAAACAACGTTGCCCATTAAAAAATAACTAGCTCTTGAACATTTTAAAACAATGCCTATTTTTCCAAGTACATCAAACATTTCACTAGTCTTATTAAACACAATCTAAAGTGCTAATTATTTACAACCTCATGTAAAAAGTACAGTTAAAAAAACACAAAACATTTACATTAAAAGCTTATCTAAGAACTTTGAGCTCTTTCGTGACAAATGTATTTTCTTTATGTACAAATAAGATCACAGCAGAGTAATTTACAATCAATGATCTTCCCAAGGAGTCATTAGCAAAAATAAAAAAAAAAAATCACAAAATTTGAGCCTAAAAACCAAAACAATTTTATTTGAACTAGAACCAGTCTAGATGTCCTGCAAACCCCGGCTCCAGGCCCGAGTTCTGACTTCCTGAGAGGCAGAGGCCCATAGAGGAAGAATCGGCTGATCTCATTTATTAACCTGGTTTGACTTCAGAATGAACCCTACGTGGACCAAGCAGGTTCAGACGATGGATGGATGGATGAACTTCAGAACGAATAAAGTTCACCCAACAATGAACCAAATACAGAAAACCGAGATGAATTCACCTCTTTTTTTTATAAATCTCAGTGTGCTGCAAACACAAGGCTTCATTTCACCCGCAGGGTTCCTCTTGAACATTCTGCTATTTATTGGTCTCTTATAAAATCACCACTTTCACTTCTACTAACCAGTTAAGACCATGAACCCAACCATTAGACAGGATTTTACTAAAGATGAAACTGATGCCAATTAGTGAAGTGGAAAACAACACAAAATGTTTCGGTTCTGGAGAGAAACAGAACAAAACACGCAGAATGGAGATAAGCAAGTGAACAATCTGCAATGATTTTTCATGTCTTCACACTCATCTGTCTGGAGTCACATAAGTAAAACCTTCTTTAACGATCACAGCACAGCCACACATCCTTGAATAACATTCCTCACAGTGGAATAAAATGTTTTCTTAACATGCAAAAAGTAGAGCTGCTCCAAACCGATCACATGATTGAAAATCAGGCCCCATCAAGAGATTTTCAAAGGATCCGGAATCGGGTGGAAAAGATCGAATTAAACCGAATAAAACAACAAACACGACTTTTTACATTCATCCTGAGACAGAGATGTTAAAACAGAATAACAATGGCTTAGTTTTATTTCAACAAGTTCCTCTACATCGATATTCTTTGCTTCTTGGATGAAAAAATGAATAAATAAGTCACACAGTTTAGAGCAGGCGGGGATTCAGACACCATAACATGTAGCTGTTAGCTAGCAGGCTAAAGCAAAGCTTTCTCCTTCGGCTTCTCCCTTCAGTCTCCACCAAAGCGAATCACCTGTTTCCATTAAGGCCTAGTTTACCAGTCCCAGTTCATTGTGGAAACATGGACCAAAACACGAAGCTAGATACGTTAATAAACAAAGACATGCTGCTGGTCATGGTGCCGTGCGCTTGCCTCAAAACAGCCGCACATTAAGAAAGGTAAACAATTTGAAACGTGAGTGACGAGCCTGCTCAAAAAATATTCATAACATTAACACGTTTCTCATCAATCTACTTCCTGAAAGGTGATTTTGTTTTTGCAGATAAACTGAGATGCATGCATAGAGAAAGAAAGAAATACAGCAATAGTGATGATGAGGACAACTTGGATATGTTCTCAATTTTTCTTCTTATTTTAATACTTTGCTGAAGTGTCGGATCTGGCCTCAGTATTGGCAGACACTCAAAATCAAATGACTCAGACTTGGATCGGGAGTGAAACAATGCGATCGGAACATCCGTAGTTGAAAGTTTAACTCAAAGAAAGACTACAGCATGAATGCATTTCACACTCACCAGACAAAACATTATGACCACTAACTTATTTTTGATCATCACGGTGCACCCCTTCAAAGTGTCAGGCAATGCCCAGAGCACATAGAAAGTATTCTGTACTCGTGTAGATGTAAATATTGAATAACTAAAAAGAAATATAGACCAGTTTTCTCAGGTAAAGCCTTAAACAGCATTCATCCCTTGAGTTAATGCCCTACCACACAGCCAGTGTGTTTTGCTGTTGTTCTGCCATGTTTACGTAAACTCTGACTTTTTAAAATGCACAAGTTTAGCTTCTTAAGAAGCTGATGGTGCGTCATTCGTATGCCAATAAAAACAAGAACATGCTTGGAAGGTCGAATGTGATGGAATCATTTTAATAATCGTTCTTTCTTCAATTTCATTCTTTTTGTGATAAATTAGAGCCAAAATCAAACCTGAATAACTAGTCTGATTATCGGCTCTACTGCCTAGAGGAAAAATCAGAACAGCTGATCTCACTACAACGCTGATATCCCACATCCTGGCTTCATTCAACACCAGAACCCCGCTCGCCGTCTTCATAGAGACAAAACCCCAGTGGGTCATCACAACTCAGGACACGACAGGATCTACAGCACCAGAAACTCCAGGACTCTCTTGTGTGTTCTGACTGGTTATAATCGTATGGCTGATCAGCTTACTCACACATCCGGGGACAGAGAGAGTCATCCGTAGCTAAAACTCAACACAAATCAACATTTTTCTTGTTTCTCATCACATGGGATCTCTAGTGAACACAACACATCCTAAACAGCAACACAGACTGATATAAATAATATTAATGCTCTTGCAATAAAAGCTAAAAGGCAAACGGATCCAATATACTGATTATACCCAAATGTGTCACCACCTCCACCTGACAGCCTGTAGCTGATTGTGTGTGTGTGTTTTGGGAACCCTGGTGTAGCAGGTGTGAGGATTACAGCAGAGAGAGCTCATCTCACACACGTCCACCATGGGTCCAGTCACTTTTAGCATATGCAGTGAAATTTTCCGACAGCAGGCGTCTGGTTAACTCTTCTCGCTGGTCTGCAGCATGTGCTGTCTGGTTGATCCGGAGCTGGTGCTGCCAAGAACAGAGCCACTAGCCTGTTTCCGGATCCAGTCCAGCATGCAGAACCTCAACATCAGGAGGAAACCTGGAGAACAAAGCAGAGCCAAGATGCAGGAGCAGCTGATAAAAGGTGTGTAACGTCCAAAAGGGTCAATTTTCACCTAAATATTGACAACTTTCTATTTGGTCTTCCAGAACCAGAAGGTTCTGTTCAGCGTGTGTTGACATTCCATGAAGACAACACATTCAAACATTCCCTCCCAAGGTCCTACACTCCAGACGTCAACATTCGTCACTGTGAACAAGTGAAGACTCCATGACTTTTACAATAATCATGTGTGGTGATCCAACAAGATGTTTAAATGAAATGTTTGAATGACCTGCGCTTAAATCAGTGAATTTAAAATGAATATTGTTCTTACAACGATCCATTTATCTCACAAACCTGCATGTGTTTGATTTAACTAGTTAATCATTATCTACACGCATACACATCTTCATAAGATACAAAATAAGGTTAAGGGTCACCTCACATAAGTGTTTTAAGCCATTCTTATTCACAGTGTTAAGGACCTTGTATTTGAAGGAAGGCGTGGCTTTCTGAGGGATGTTGGTAAATACCCAGAAACGTGTCAGATTCTGATCTGCCAGAGTACGCCAGAAATCACAACACTGGTTTAATTAAACAGGATTTACTTCTCGATTGATTAAGTTTCCAGCTGAACCCTGATTCAGCCAAATTGGGTAAGAAGCCTCTTTTGAAACAATCTCCTTTGACCTCCTGTCAAAGCCTCGCTGCAACGCTGCGGCTGAAACCACACAACCGGCCCTTCTAAGAGCCAAACAAACATCAACCTTAGACGCAAATAAGCATTCCAGCTGTCGACCTTCTCCTCAAGGGATCTCAGACCGGACGGGTCTTATCGGAGCTATCTACGGGTTCCTGATATCAGAGTTGACTCCACCGGCAGTGACCACCGACCCCCCCCCCGGATCCAACGAGAACCTCCACACCAAGGGTGCGTACACTTGGCACGACAGATTGCGTCTGATGCTGTTATCAATGAACAACTCTCTAGTTTAGAACCAAACAACAAATTATTTTGCACCCAGATTTCACATTTTCTCTCAGATACAAAGAACGGTTGCTACAGCATCTAGCTTCCATCACAACACCTCACATCCACCACACCACACATGATTATTGTAAGCTTATGAGTTGTAAAAGTCATGGAGTCTTCACCCGTTCAGTGAAGAACGTTGACGTCTGGCATTCATGCAGAGAGTGTAGGACCTTGGGAGGGAATGTTTGTTTGAATGTGTTGTCTTCATGGAATGTCAACACACGCTGAACAGAACCTTCTGGTTCTGGAAGGCCGAACAGAAAGTGGATCTATGCTGTAGATGAAAGGCCACTGTGTAGGTCAACATATAGGTGAAAATGGACCCTTTTGGACGTTACAGGTGACACAACAAACCTAATCTAGTGGAACTGTTTCACCATTTTTATTCTTAGTTTGAGTTCCCTGCAGTCACGGAAACCCAACACACACCTTGTGAGGAGTTTAGGATGCAGGACAGGAAGAGAATGACGTCTGATAGCGGTCCAAAGTCCAGGAAGGCCAGACCCCAGGTTGTCCCGAAGAGGCAGCTGAGACCCCAGATGCTGAGAAAAGCCACGCGGTTCTGCTTCCACTCATCTCTGGTGCGGATCTCCCGGTAGACCAGGAACAGCATGACCATCCCCGACAGCACCAGGATGGCCAGAGTTGTCAAATTAGTGAGGCAGTGAGCCAGAAAGGCCTTGTGGTCCTGCCACTTCATCCAGCACCTGCAAACAAAGTAATAAAAAACAATCAGTCAGCAGAAATCAAAATTAAAATCACAGTTTGTGTCAGTTTTTCATTTATTCAGCCTCCAGCTCTGAAAAGTCTTACATCAGGTACGGATTGGAGACATCATGAGCTGGAGCCACCTCTGTCAGTCCGTAAACACCTCCCACTGCAGACAGCACAACAACTGGGACAACTGGGACGCCTGAAGGCAGCATAAAAGGGTCAAACATGCACATGCTTTTAGTTTCAGGAGATTTAAAAGTAAATGTCCAGAAATACTCGTTCACACACTCACCAAATCCCACCAAGTACCACACACAGGTCTTTGGGGAGGGTCTGAACACCATGTGGACCAACCAGAAGGTGTGGAACACTTCCACACCCATCCAGATAAAGGAGCTGAGCAGGGAGTAGTGGAGCAAGGCCCCCACCCACTTACACACGCTCTCGCCTCCAACATTGGCCAGGACCCCGGTAAAGAAGAAGAGCAGGCTGAGGGAGGCCAGGGACACGGCGAGGCCCAGATGGATGGGTATGGACTGCTCCTTGGACCGTTTCCTGATGGGAGAGAGAAAATCATCTGGTTAGAAAAAGTAAACAAATGTGTTAAATGGCTCATTTTAAAGTACTTTTACTTTTTCCTGCAGAAAAAGACGATGAGAGCGACGGCGCTGATGAAAGACACGGCACAGCCCACAGATGTAATGCAGGTGAGAGCCTGCAGGTGGCGCACCGGTCGAGGCTGGAGTTGCTGCAGAGGAAGACGGAGAAATGAGCTGAGCAGCAGGGACACCATCTGTACACCTCTCCTCAGTGGGGTTCTTGTATCAGTCTCTGAGCTGTTCTTGTTGTGTTAGATAATAGATGGCAGCACATCTGCAGCACGCCTCACCACCAGCACCGTGAAGTACGTCAGATGGTTACACAAGCACTCCGTGTCTTCGTCTCCTCTGATTCGAGTCTCACATCCATCCCTCACCCACTTCACCTGCCAGGGATCTGCACAAAGAGACCGTGTGTTTAAAACATCCGACTCGTGTTACAGAATTAGAATAAAACGATTTGTTATCTCCGTCTTGAAGAGCTCCCACCTCTCCGAGTGTCCCAAGAAACACACGTCCTTGCATGGTTTTTCTGAAACAGAAAGAAGTACATTTTGTGGTTTTAGCACAGTTTAGTTGTACCGGTTCACGTGGTGCGCTGTAGAGAAGCTGCTGAGCACATCTTGTTTTTGCAAGACATGAGGCGAGAAAGGAAACTCAAAGGTGGTTTAGGGTGCTATCTGAGGTAGACGGGAAGACGACACCAAACTAACAAGGTGCACCTCTTTTGGAAGTGTTTTGTTTTTCTTTAAACATGACCCATTTCTGATGGCTCAGAGGCCAAATACACGTGTTATTTTTAAAGCTTTTGTGAATCTGCTTCGAGGATTTAAAACACCTCAAATGGAATTTGCACAGTGCATAAACAGGCATGACAATGGAAGCAACAGTAAGTGGAAAGTCAAAACACGAGGAAAAAATGAGCCAATTAGCATTTTTACTTTTAGAATCTCAAACTAAACAAAAGCTGTTGGACGTAAGAAGAGATCAGACATGATGAAGCCTGTCAGGCCAGAGCAAACGAACCCGAGGAGAAGTAAAAAGGTGACGAACGTGATCGGAAGTGAGTCAAAGCTTTGTGGATTTACTGAAAACACAAAGCTGCTTAGGAACCTAAATGAGCCTTTTCTCTAAACAGATGTTATTCAGGAGGTTACCTTCATTAGGTTAGATAGTAGTTATTAGTATTATATAACTTTCAAATGGCAGGAAGAACCCTTTAGGCAGCTGGGATGGACAAACTTACAGCTATGGCGTCATGTTTAAAGCAAATCTTTATTGGGTCAGACAGACCGGTGATGATCTCATTCTCCACCGTGATTTCCACCACATCGTTGAGAAGCCGGACCTCATCGTACCCCTCCTGAAACACACACAGCGTCATGTTCCCCTGCCTGCATATTTTCACATGAAGGATCGTATTTCTGACAGACAGAGCGGGGCGTGGTGTTTGAGAGAAAAAGGCAGCAGATCGGAAGATCCGTCACCATCTTGGTAAAGTTTCCTCGACGACTCACCTGGAACACGGAGTTGTTCTTGTGGAAAGTGATGGCCGCTTTGCTCACTTTCGCAGTTGGTTTAACGTCAGGAGGGATGAAGACGTAGGGTGTGTTCTACAGAAGGATCATAAGACAGACAGATGTTCAACATCAACATTGTTTATGTGGTTATTTTAAAGATAAGAAAAGGAAGAAAAAACACAACAACACAAGGATTACAAGAATAACCTAAAGGTGTTGGCTGAAGCCTCGCTTTTTATGCCTACCCTGTTTACAAAATCTATTTTATACTTAGAATGATGGAACAAAATTAAAAAAAATGTAAAAATTGAAATTGTAATAATAATAATAATAATGAACGATAACAAAAATCAATCGGAAAAATAAACACAATAGCCTTAACATGAGTCAATGAATAATATTCATATAGTTTCTATGGATATAAATGCTTTCAAGTGTAGCGACTAGTGAGTTGGGACACCATGACTTAAAAATGAACAGCTAGTCAAAGTCTGGTGCAAAAAGTCTTTATAATTATGACAAAAATCCAAAGAAAAGTGTCTTAATGAATGTCTGAGCGACAACTCCTGCCTCCCTACAGTTGTGTTTGTGTGCACCACACCCCCCGTTAGTGTACACAGCTGTAATGAGTAGATCTGCGTGGAGATTGCTGGGTACTTCCTTAAATGACTTTATTTTAAGGTAGCGTGGTGAAAAATGTAAGCTTTCTATTCCCAGCTTCTACTCGTCAGTAAAACATGGCGGACTTTCATGTGGCTAGCCTCTCACCTATTTCAACTCGATCACCCACGTGTTGGATTTGAGCGAGTCTCACACTGACTGTTTAAATACAGCAACAAAATAAGCGCATGAAAAGTAGAGGCACAGTTTTAGAGGCGTAGAATCATCTTCTGAATGCCTCTGGGGCCGAATTAGTGAGTAAACCGTATGCTGGAATAAAAGAAGTCTCTAATCATTTCCTCTCTAGGAATTTCATGAGAAATAAGAGGATCAGTATTTTCTTTTTTAAAGAGCAAGTCACTCCAAATCAACATTTTTTTGCTGATAAACTATATAAATGCGTGTCTAATCGTGCTGCAGACACGTGTAGTCAATAATTCGGCACTTTAGTGCATCTTAGTTAAAATTTAAAATTTCTGCCTAAAACTGTCAGTGTTGAACCGTCGTCAGGTAAAAACTCACCACTGCATTTGAATTTAAATCTGCCGTCGCTATTGGCTAAGAGGTACACTATGATGTTAGATGGTACATTATGATGTCACAATGTCGTGAGTGTGTGTGTATTTGTTAGTGGCTCCATCCTCTCGGTCTGCTAGGCAACATCATTTGTTGCATTTATCAAACAGAAAGTGGGAGTTGAGTAAGAATCTGGTAGGGGGTGACTTGCTCTTTAAGCATCTAATGTATTTCAGCTATTGTGAGTTTCAGAAAGAGGTGGGGTAAAGTGCATCACAAAATGCAGTCACTGACATATGAGATAGTGGGGCAAAAATATATTTGGCAGCCTCTTACTGTGCATGTTGTCCCACTTAGAAACACGAGAGGTCTGTAATTTTCATCATAGGTACAATTAAACTGTCAAAGACCAAATGTAAAAAAATATCAGGAAATCACATGGTTTGATTTTCAAATAATCTATTTGTATAATGGTTCAGCACATAAGTGTTTGGTCGATAGAAAAATACTTTGTAATGATTTTTTTGTTGGCAGTGACAGAGGCCAAGAAGATCAGGAGCCTCATTTATCAAGCTTGCTTACACACAAAACGGGGTCGGAAATCTGCGTAAGCAACTTTCCACGCAAACTTTGGGATTTATAAAAGAAAACTTAGCAGAAAAATGTGCACAACTTTAAGTTGACTAAGGACCTGGCTTACGCACATTTTAGACATGGAGAGCAGCTGCAGTGCTGCTGCTGAGAAGGATAAAATTATGAAATCCTGCAGCATTATCACTTGTACTGCTTCGTTTTCACACAGAACAAGACCCCCCACATGCACACACGCACACACACACACACACAGCCTGAAGCGCAGAATACGGAATGCATAACATCAGCAGGGGGACAGATTGAGGCAGAATGTCATGTACCCTGGCTACTTGGCCAAAAGAGATCTCTGTTTGGCCAACTGGTTAGCGTGCATGACTTTCACCCGGCAGTCTGGGGATCGAATCCCAATCGGACCATTTTTTTTTATATCTACCACAGATCTCTCTGAAGAACTCACAACATTGACGGCTTCAGCAACGCTGTGCCACTCTGTAGCTTTTATCTTATTTGTTTTGCAAAAGCACTTCCTTTCATTTCTCCACCTCACCCACAGGTACCTCAACTTCTGCTTGTGAAACAGCGCTGCCTTGATCTGCGGTCGCGATCTTAATGGCGGAGCGCTGCAACGAGCCGGCTTATGTATGTGCATGAGATCCACAAGGCACTTTGCATTGACCATTCATGGCAGAAAGTGGGCGTGGTGAGGGCGGGATGTGACTCAGTAACACCTGAGAACCATTCTAGGAAGTTTGTGATTTATGAAGCGGAGATTGCGTGCAGCTGTGCGTACTCCATGTTTGATAGATCACAGACCTACTTGGCATCAGTACATTTTTTTTGCTGAGCTTGAGTACAGTTTTAGTAAGGGTTCTACGCAATGTTTTATGAATGAGACCCCAGGTCTTCACCAGGTTTGCACACACTGTAGCTGGTCTTTTGGCCCCTTCTTCCATGCAGATCTTCCCTATACAGCTGTGATGTTTTGGGGCTGTTGCTGGGCAACAGAGTTCTGTCGCCCTCCTCAGATCCTCTATTGGTCTGGAGACTGGCTAGGCTGTTCCTGAACCTCGAGATGCTTTGTACCTAACCATTCCTTCATTGCCCATCCTGTGTTTGGGATCATTGCCATGCTGTAAAATCCAGTCATGTTTCTTCTTCAGTGATAGGAGGGTTGTGCCCAAAATCTCATGATACACTACCCCATTCATCATTTCCTTAACACGGATCAGTCATCTTGTCCTCTTTGCAGCCCTAAAGTAAAACGTTTCCACCCCATGCTTCATAATAGGTATGATGTTCTCCAAACACGACGAGTGGTGTTTATACCAAATAGTTTTATTTTGGTCTAATTACTCATGACGTTCTCTCAATCCTCTTCTGGATCGTCCAGGTGGTCTCGGGTAAACTTTAGATGGTCCTGGACATGTGCTGGCTTAGGCAGGAGGACCTAGTGTGGTCATTAGTACCCCATGAGGTAAGATCTTGCATGGAGCCCCGGGGCGGGGGTGATTGTCAGTGATCACGTTCCATCAGTTGCTCTTCTCACCAACCTACAATCCTACAATTGTACCAATAGTAGGTTGGCTCATCCCAGTCTTGCACAGTTGTTCAATCTTGTCCCTGGTGTCCTCAGAAAGCTCTCTGATCATGGCCATGGCGGAGGTTGGAGTCTGACTGTTTGAAGGTGTGGACAGGTGTTTTTTACACAGATAACGAGTTCAAACAGGTGCCATTAATACAGGTAACAGATGGAGGAGAGAGGAGCTTCTTAAATAAATAACAGGTCTGCGAGGACCAGAATTCTTGTATTGTTGTAGGTGCTAAATACTCATTTTCTGCTTCAGTATACAAATAATTTCTTTAAAAAATCCTACAATGTGATTTCCTGGTTTTGTCTCTCATAGATGACGTGCATCGATGATGAAAATGACAGATCTCTCTCATCTTTTAAGTGGGACAACTTGCACAATTGCTGGCTCCCGAATACTTTTGCCCCACTGCACACGTGCTTTTGAGTCTTCTGTCTTACTTCTGACTGGAAACTGGAGCCACTGGATTTGTTGTCGAGGTCAAGTTCGTATTTTCTCGAGCAGGGAAGTTCGGAGTTCTGATATCTGCTCCGACGAGGAAAACAAACACAGTTTTAGGATGAAAACGTTACAGAGGTTGTTTGTGTGTCACACACTATAAAAACATTAGACACTTCCTGTTTGTGGTCTGAAGCTGCATACTTGATTACAACAACATTAGCCGTGGTGGTCAGGGCCATCCTGAACGAGGAAGGGTGTTGTCAAAAACACCTGGAGTGAGACCTCTGCAGTGAGTTTGACAAAAGTGAACAAAAGGGGGGAAATTTACCTCATCATGTAGGAGGACCGGTCTACTTGTTGTTCACACAATAATTCTGCAAGAAAATAAAAGAGCGTGACCATAGAAACTAAAATTCTTAAGCTTTTAAGGTTTACATCAAGTTAAATATACAAAGTGCTGAATGTAGCAAAACCTTCTGATCCTCCCACATTATTCTTGTTTTATATAAAAATAAATAACATCTTACTGCAGTTGGCATGGCGTCCCTCGAAGTTGTAGCCTGCCACTGTTTTATCCGTAACTAAATCATTTCGGATCTTCGCATTTACAATCCCATAAGTAGCCTCAGGGTCGTTGGAGCCATGAGTCAGGTCAGTGCAGCAGGAGTTTCCTGGACTTGCAGGGGAGCAAAGAATGATGTTTTCTCCTCCGATCTGCAAAAACAACCAACAAAATAGGCAAAAAAAATAAAACAATGATCAAGGAAGGAAAAAACAAGCAATATGCAGCTGAGGACTCTGTCTGATTCACCTGAAGTGTCAGCTGGTCGAGCAGCGGCTGCCAGTGCAGACAGAAGTCACTGTCCTCTTCTGACTCGAGTCCATATTTGTTGAGAGGAATCACATCGAAGTTCGTACACTGGGATGTGATCTTCCCGATGACGGACAGAGAGCTCTCATTGGCTGAAACATAGACGCCGCTGCAGCCTGTGGAGAGGTTGATGTTCAGGCTCATCGGGTTCCTGCCATGGCGCCAGGTGCCACAAAACTCCAGGAAAAGATCATTTTGACAAGAACCTGTTGAAATAAGTTAAACTGAAGAACGCAACAAAAGAATTAAAAAATAATCTAACACAAGAGTAGAAGGAGTCACCACTCGTCTGGGAAAGGTGCTGGATCAAAAAGTGGAATAATCAAAATAAGAATCCGCACACTTCAATCTGCGATGTAGGAGATTATTGGTCAAGCTTTCGGTCAGAGACCTTCACAATTCCTGATGAAGGTCTCTGACCAAAAGCTTGACCAATAAACTCCTACATCGCAGATTGAAGTGTGCGGATTCTTATTTTGATTAAAAAAATCTAACATAAAAATGTAAAAAAAAAAAAAAAAAAAAAAAGATTTCCACTTGGTTTTGATGGTTATTTTAAGGAAATCTGAAATGTTTTTGCTGCTACTTTAACTCTACAAGTATAATTTATACAGCACTTATGCAGATTTAAGTCACAACTATGATTCATCAGTGTCACGGAAGCCAAACCCTTAGGTTTGGGGTTAGAGACTAACCCTTACAACTCAGTACAAGTGAAAGTGCACTGGTGGCAACCAAACAAACTCACAGAAATAAAAACATGCCACACCTTTATCCAGGAGGATTATAAATCAGTGACCAAAACAATGATTTTATTCAACCTAAAACATGCTTAAGCACACGTATAGCGAGGCAGAAAGAGCCTTTTGCAGCACCAGGATGTGGTTCCACTAAAGACCTGTAGTGTTAAGACAATTTCACATATTTGGTTTTCTGGCTGCTTTCTAATCTTCAACATTGTATAAATGAAATTAGGGCTGCTCGATTATGGCAAAAATAATAATCACGATTATGGTGACTGAAATTGAGATCACGATTATTTAGGACGATTTTTCAATTTATGTTGATTTTATTTGTTTTTATTCAGTCATAAAATTGCTCAGGGCACAATCAGGACAAAAATAAGAAACAAGATGATCACTAAAAGAACTCCTGATTCCCAATATAAAAACATCAATATATTTATAGCTCATAGTTTATGACCCAAGGGTTTGGTTTAACTCATGTAAGTCTAACCAGTACAGACCCAAATAGCAATATCTTGCAAATACTGACAGCAAGAATTATACAGTGGCATTTATAACAAATACATGCAAATTGCTGTTCACAAAATGTTACATAACATTTATTGAGTCGTGTCAAGGTGCTGTAGGAGAGTGCACTAGCACCGTGTCCTCAGAGAGATTAGTTATTATTTATCAACGTGAGGAACTTATTTCTACCTTATTTATAAACTTTTTATTTACAAGTCCATCAGTTAATGTAATAATTGTCCCAACCACAGCTGCACCCCCACCCCCCAACCCGGTCTCACAGCAATCGGGGCAAGCTGCACGTGTTTAGCACGCCGCACGCGCACATTTAGCCGTTTTTAGCGGCTCAGGAGTCCGCAGGTGCGGTGTGTGTCACTCACTCTGGTTACTCCAACAGGGAGCCGGCTCCGAGAGCCGTTTCTTTAGCGACCGACACATCACTGCATCATTCCCTTTCCTAATGTCCTGAAGAACGGTCCGGAGTGCAGGCGGAGTGTTTAGCTAACCTGCAGGAAATGTCGACAACATTTATCTAGAAAGTAGCTAAGGGTTACCAGAGATGTTTCTCAGGTGTTCGCCAGGTACTTTTAAGTTAAAAAGTTAAGAAGGGGGTCTGAAACGCTGCTAGAAATAGCGTCACAGTCACTAAGTTGGCAACACTGTGGGAGGAGCGCTTCATTTGCAACTCAGGGCAGCGCAAGCGGGAGGAGCAAATAATCGGCTTGTTTTGTTTTTTATAATCGTTCAAAACTCAGATCGTAATCGTGATTAAAATTAGATTAATTGAGCAGCCCTAAATGAAATGTTAACTGCTACTGTCACATTTAGGATTTTTAAAAACACATTTAAACTCAGAAAAGCTACGCTACACCATGGTGCAACACAGCTGTGATGGAACAAGAGAATATGAAGAGTTGTGGAGTTTTTATTTTACCAGAGGACAGGAGGAGGATGAAGAGGAGCATGTTCTTTAGATGGTTCATCAGTCGGGCCTCCATGGTTGACAACTGATATGGAGACACAGAAAAAGAAAGAGGAACAGTTTAATCCTGCATGTGCAGAGAGAAGAGCTTTTCAGCAAAGACACCAGCTGGATTACAGTAAAAGCCCAGTGATCACCTACATCCTAACGATAACAGCCAAACTTCAGCAGAACCTCAGAGTATCGTTCCAGCTGTCACTATGTGCAGACACACTTCCGGCATGAAGCCAAAAGTCCCCCGAAGCAGCACAAACGCGACATAATAAAACATTGTTTTAATGATACTATTCTTATCCAGCGGCCTGGCCTGTTATCTGTGCCCTCATATCACTGAATACCAACGAGTTCAGGCCCAAAATACACACAAGGACCCTTGTGTGCTCTTATCAATGGAAACACTCCTTTCCTTTAACTGCCATGAGCACGAATGAATCAGCAGTTCACTCTTCCCATCACTCTTTCACAAGCTGATTCTTCTTTTACCAGCTAGAAGGTACCATAGCTCCATAGATAAATGTTACATAAATGTGTGTATGTATGTTATATACACATATGTATACCTATGTATAGGGTGCACAGATCTATCGACCCCAATCTCGTTTTTTTCTTTTCAAGATCGGTGATCGGCCAAAAACTGCAACCGGTGCTCCCCTAGTTAATGTTAAAGCAAATCATTGCTATAGAATCATTTTTTGGACAAGTGTGTCAAAACTAGCCTAGTGAACTAGACCAAATTCTTGCTTTGCAAAGTTTGGTCTAGGAACGCTCCACTGGAACCTCTGCAGCCCCAACAGCATTCTGGCTGGCCAATCACAGCTCTCTAGAGGGGTTTCAAACACATAAAGAGCTGTGATTGGTCCATAATGGTGGGCCAATCATAGTGTTCTATCTGCTTAGTGAACAAATCACAGAGCTTTATCTGCTTGTGGGCCAATCAGGGCACTCTATATGCCTGGTGGGTGGGATGATGCAACAGAGTGAAACAAGAGTATGTCACATTCATTGTCCAGTGGAATGCGGAGATCATTTGAAAGACAACGGTAGAACCCGCCCCACAACTGAGAGCCGTCAATGGAGCGTGGCCAGACTAAATAATACATTTATTTAGTCTGGCTTGCCCTGTAACCCTGTTACAAAATTAGAAAAGAAACAAATATGTAGTTCAAACAGCAATGCTAATTATGTTTATTTATATTTGAGAACATTACCTCATGTCCAGTTCAAACTGGTATTGTTTCATGAGTATTCACATTGGTTTTCTCAATAAAAGGAAATTGAAACATATGTAATCTGCTTTTAGTTGAGATAAAATCAGTATCGGCAAGTCAGGTTTTTCTCAAGATCGGTGATCGGCCAAAAACTGCAATCGGTGCACCCCTAATTAGGGCTGGGCGATATGGCCTAAAATCAATATCTCAATATATTGAGGATTTCATCTCGATAACAATAAATGGACTACAGGGATGCGCAGAGAAAATATTACATGTAGGAAGTAATGTGATGCTTCATCATTCTAGACCTTTATTTCAACCTGGGACTCATAACAAATTTGAGCTGAAAAAAAAGGCTTTTCAAACTATTAAAAAACAAACGAATGTATTTTGGAATAAAACTATTTTTCACAGATTACTGTAGGCTTGTGTGTGCTATAGGAGTCAGCAGCACCGATACCATCAGCTGGCTTAAAACGTTAGCATAACCATTGTGTTAAAGTACATCCCACCAACAGGAAAGAAGGAGATCAATTCAGGATCTCTACAACCCGTAAGTTCACCTCCAAAGAAGACAGCTACGTGAAAGAAGAACCATGTGTTGTGTTTTGACTAGAGTTCACCGTACATGTCTCTTTTTTGTGCGGGAAACAGTACCGCTAAAAACGAAGCTTCCTTAAAAATGACCACTTTATATCACATGAATCATCATCATCGTCTCCAGACAGACGTGCTGTTTACCTTCATACAGCAGACATTTCTGTCATTTTCAGTTTCAACCAAAAGTTACCAACCACAAGTTTCCCAACATCCATGTGAGAGCACGTTTGCCACATTTGTCAAAAAAGAGAGACGAAACTGCTCAGACAGCAACTCTACACCTTCAACCCTACGCGTGTGAAGGTTGTGAGCGTGAGCACAGGTGGAAAAAGATGCAGACGATATTACGGGGGAGAACTTTTGCACATCTCCTGAACATTAGCAGACAGGAACTAAGAGGACAGGACAGGAACCAGAGCAAAAACAGAAAGGTACAGAGAGAAAAAAAGATGAAACGAAACATAAAAACTAAGTAAGACTGAACACGGGGGGAGTCGGGGTCAGAATTTGATGTTTTGATTCTTTTTAAAGCAGGGGTCTCCAGCCCGTGAGCTACTTTGACACAGAATAAGTACCGAAGAGCTACCACCATCTGATTTATTCACATGTGTGAATATGCCTACTATGTTAAGAAAATGCTATGCTTACTATGTTAACATGCATGTATTCACTAGTTGATTTCTCAGTATTTTAATACGTCAATATTATAAAAAAAAGGAAGAAGTGACATTCTGATATTCAAACTAAACAAACCATTTTGTTTATTAACTAATCAGATGCTTTCAGATAATAAAATACAAATACTTCTTGTGAATTATTTGACTTTTTTTAAGAACAGATCAGTAACATAACTTTTTGAGCACACATCTACTGTTCCTGTTCAGTCCCCGACCCTGTGCCCAACGTCAGGTTTCAGAAGTTTTGTCATCAATGAACAAAAACTTCCAAAAACGACTGAATGCAGTTTAAAGAATATTTAGAGTTTTCTCATAAAATGAATGAAGCTTAAGGTTTTGTAAATAAAATACAAGCTAAATGTGATGAAAACATAAAATTCTACATTGTTTGAGCTGAAGTGAAAAATGTAAAAACAGAAATAACATTTCTTATTGCTTTCCTGATTTATTTAATCATTTTTATGTTTTTTTTGTGTTTTTTTTTTTTGCTAATGAAAGTAAAGTTTTGCTTCATTATTGAATAACTGCAGGTAAATTATGCTTTGCTGCATTTATTGCTGACAATATTAAGGTTGGGGGTTTAGTGATAGATGTAGTTAGTTTTTTTTGTGTGCAATAATCAGATTTTTATTTTGCTTCCACAAAATAAATTTTAGATTAGATATTACAGAAAACGAGGACGGCTTGCTTACAAATTTAAAACCCACCCTTCGTTTATTACGAGTCAGGATGGCTCGCTGGATGCTTCCAGGCGAGGGACTTTCAAGTGCTTCCAGTAACTCGTGAGCGACGTGTTGGAGACCCCTGCTTTATAATCCAGAGTATTCCCACTTTCAGGGATTATGCATGCTTGTTTAGAAATCCATACTGTGAAATAATGTAGGCCATATGTCAGTTATGTTTACTGAGCCCGTGCCCTGTCCCAAAGAGCCCCATGTAATTTGAATTGGGCCCGCTCAGCATCAGCCAATAGCGTTAGACGTCCGCTTACATAGTCTATACAGCCTGCAAACACTCCTGAATGTGTACGCACAGCCACTCGCGCAGCCGCTCCAAGAAGAAGAAAGATGTCAACACATGTCCTGCTTTACAAAGCAAACGTTTACCCAGTAGGCAGTATGGGGCCAACTATAATAAATAAATTGTTTCCAAACTAAAACAGACAAAACTGTTTTACCCAGACTCTTTCTCACCACAGCTGCATACACAGAATTAGAAAACTGCTACCCAATGCTTTTGACCAAACAATTTTGGTTTTGTCATTTCCTTTTTTTTACAGTTCGACTGCAGATGTGACGTTTAGTTGTTCATGACTGAGAAACGGCTGTTATAAGCAAACAGAGACCAACAATGGTGGAGTTATTTAGCAGGAAAGTGGTTGTAAGCCAATCTGGAATAGAAAGGGCTAATGTAGAGAAAATACAGCTGCTGAAAATATTCACATTAGGATTTTTCCTTACCCTGCAATGTGTATTACAATATGAAAAAATACGGGAATTTTCAAAGATGACTTGAACAGAACTTTATATTATGCGGCGGTCCGTTATTCCGTGGGAGTACCACAGGCTGTGAAGCACATTCTTACAAATCAAAATGATTTTCAACATGACACATTCCTCCGTAGGGTGGCCGGGCTCAGCCTTAGAGATAGGGTGAGGAGCTCGGACATTCGGGAGGGACTCGGAGTAGAACCGCTGCTCCTCCGGATCGAAAGGAGCCAGTTGAGGTGGTTTGGGCATCTGGCCAGGATGCCTCCTGGACGCCTCCCCGGGGAGGTGTTTCGGGCATGTCCTGCCGGCAGAAGGCCCCCGGGTCGACCCAGGACACGTTGGAGAGGTTACATCTCCAATCTGGTCCGGGAACGCCTTGGGGTCCTGCCGGAGGAGCTGGTGGACAAGGCCAGGGAGAGGACGGCCTGGAGCTCCCTAGTTGGGATGCTGCCCCCGCGACCCGGACCCGGATAAGCGGAGGAAGACGAAGACGAAGACGAAGACATGACACAATCATTGCTGTAGACACAGTAAACGCTTTTGTCAAACTTATTGGAAATGCAAAATATCGCCCAACTCCCTGTTGGAAGTGGCAAAAAGAACTTTGTACATCCTCGTGATTTAATATCCTCCAATAAAATAGTTAGTCCACAACAAGTCTTGCGTCTGCAATCCAACAATTACTTTGTTTTCATCATAACTTCCATTAGCATCCTCATTACAGCACCAACCCTGACGTGTAAGCTTTCAACACCTTACATGGTCCAATAGGTGAAGGGTTACCACCCCCTGCTGGGGCTGAATCTTTAACTATTGGCTGATAGGTCAGAAGTACCACCTCCAATTCTCACACATGTATCTTGAACCATTTGCAGCATAGTATTTTGTTTACTGATGCATCAAATTGCCAATGAAATTAGGAAAATAATGATATCTCACATAAGGAACCCTCGTCTACTTCTGTAAACTAATTAAAAACGATTGTGACTAGTGGATCACTGTTCGAGTTCCTTTAACATTAAACGAGAACACGTTGAGTTCATTCGG